CCTGGCTGTGTGACCCAGGGCAAGTCACTTAACCTCTGAGCACTCCCTGAGAGTCTCTAAGACTCTGGGTCATGGAGCAGGCGCTGACCTACCTCTATGGACCGAGCTCCCCAGGACACTGGCATCCCAGGGTCAGTCCCACCCCTTGTTCCTGGCACCTCGAATGGTACTTGGTACACAGTAGGTACTTACTAGATTCTTGTTGAATTGAATAAAGCTGCGAAGCAGGGTGGCTCACAGCACTGACCTCATTAATGAGCTGGGTGTGGGGTCTGGTCTAAGGAGGAACACGCATTGTCCTGACTGGCCTTTCCTTCTCTGGAGGCTGCCAGGCAGCAGCGGCCCCTCATTAACAGGCTCCAGCCAGAATCAGTACTCTGACTCACACCCAGAGAGGCCTGTTTCCAACAGATGGATGCTGTTATGATGAGTAAACTACGAATTCATTTGAAAGCATCCCTGAATTCACAGCAGCCTTTTGAGGGGAGGGGAGGCTGTAATTTCTTACAGTTGGAGAAAGGTTGGGAACCACTGGTTTGCCAAACTCAACTCCACCCATCTTGGTTACAGGCCTTCCCAGATGTTAAGCTTTGGAGACAGAGGGTGAACAGCCCGTATGAGCACTCCCTCCATCTACGTACGTCTTAAAACTGTCTGAGGCATTCGGAGGATAAGTGACTGGCACAGGGTCATACCACTCCCGCGTGTCAGAGGCGGTGGAATCCGCTAAGTTCCTAGGCTAAAGCTAAGGAAGTTCTGAGGTCATCAAGTCCAGAAATAGTGAAAGCCAAGTGAGGATGAAGGAGGACTTGAATCCAGGCTTCCTCTTTTGTTAATCAGTCACTAAGTATTTATTAAGCACCTACTATATGCCAGGCACTGTGCTAAGTGTTAGGGGTACAAAAAGAGGCAAAGGACAGTCCCTGCCCTTGGGGAGCTCACAGTCTGATGGAGGAGACAATAGGCAAACACATACACACAACATACAAGATGTTGGCCAACACACACACACACACACACACACATACACACACACACACACCCACCCCATACACACATGTATAATAAACAGGAAATAACCAGCAGAGGGAAGGCACTGGAAATAAGGAGGCCTGGCAAAGGCTTCCAGTAGAAGGTGAGATTTGAGCTGGGACTTGAAAGACGCCAGGGAAGCCAGGAGGTAAAAATGAGTTCCGAGAGCATTCCAGGCATGGGGGCAGTCGGTGAGAATAGCCAGAGACCAGTGCCTTGTTCTTCCAGAGCTACTGGATCAAAGAGGCTGGGGAGTGGGCGGTGGGGGCAGAGGTGTAAGAAAACTGGCAGGGGAGGGGAGGCCATGAAGGGCCTAGGACATAAAACAGGATTTTGTATTTGATCCTGAAGGTAACAGGGAGTTACTGGAGTTTACTGAGCAGGAAGGTGACATCTTTGAGGATAATGGGACACAATGAAATAGCATTTTAGAGCCTGCTTGTAAACATCTCATTATTTTAAACAGTCACATCTTTTAAGCTTTAAGTGAAACCTTCCACATCTGTTTCTAATTAATGAGTCTCTAATCTTCTCCTTTTCCATGGACTAGGCTTCTGACTGATAGCAGTAACAAGAAAACTCTCCCCTCAGCCCACTCTGACTTTCAGCTCCCCTTTCATTCTCTTCTCTTGCATCTTCCGTGAGGAAGAAGCTAACCTGATTAGTCATTTATTGTTCCCCTCTAATGAACATAACGTGAGCTACTGAATAACACCCAGAGATTCTTAAATACTTGGCCCACTGCTAAGCCACATGCTGGCAATCACGTTCTGGTTAAAGAGATCTAGTACCACCATTAGACAGCCACAGGAAATCGAAAGCTCCTCTGGCTATTAATTAAAAATGAAAAAGTAGAAATGCTGATAGCCCTCAGCTGGAAAGGTTAGTACCCAAGAAGCCAATGGCAAAGGTAAACTAACACAGGTACTCGCTCTCTGGGATGACGCAACCAAGTTGAA